TTATTTTTACATCACGTGAAACGATTACGGTAACATCCAGTTACGCAGCGAGAGCAGCAGTCAGTTCCACTGGTTTCACTTCGATTTCGGTCCGTTCGTTCGAAAGGCATGGTCTGCCTGATCTCTCGTTGCAGTGAAAAAAAAAAAAAAGCAAGATCGAGGGTGATATATAAAGGGTTTTGAAGGAATGGTTGTTTACGACGCTTCTTCTTCTTCTTCTTCTTCTTCTTCTTCTTCTTTCCTCGGTCTTGCTCGAGTTGCTTTGAGACTCGTTTCTCCTTTCTCGCCTCCTCTGCGTGTTCGATTATACGAAGGAAATGCGACGTTCGTTCTCGCGTCCTTATTGGAGGGCCTCGTGATCGACCAGTCACCTCGCGAACGAACCGGCGTGCAGAAGCAACAGGAGCAACGCCAGCGTCCTCGTTGCCGCGCCGCTGTTGCTCGAGTTCCCGTGCTGCATCGCTGCAGGATGTTCCCCTGTAACAGGCAGAAACAAAACGGGATTGTACCAATGCGTATTCGGATTCGCCGCTCATCGAACTGCGATGAGAAAAATAAATTCACATCCAGAGCCAAGAATGAAAACTTTCAAATTTATTATTTTCTCCACGGCAGGGATTTCATGTCTTTTTTTCTTTTTTTTTTTTTGTTACTTTCTATTTCATTGTTGACTCCCAATTCCAAAGTTTCTTTATCGCAACTGTCCTATAAATATAAAACATATTTAGGGACGCGTTCTAGGACCATTGGGAATTGTACATATTATTAGGGACCGATCTCACACAACGACACATCTTGAATCAATTAGCTTACCTCCCTAATCACATAACCACAACAGAATCCACATCTAGGGTGTTTCGTCTGACTGAGTAGAGTGAAATATCTGAGAATGGAAGCTACGAGAAACATATTTATACAAAAGCTGTTCAGTATAAAAAGGTGTCTTAACGTAGTATTAACAATTTTTTTATACACAACAATTCATATAATAGTGGAGGATGTTTCACCTTGATTATTTATATTTATAATATTATTCACATTAATTATAGAATGAATAATAGGATATTTATATTGAATATTTTAAATAAAATTCATAGTGATTAACTTTCAAGTCGAAATTAAATGTAAAAATTACTTCATATTTTTATTTTAATTGATAAATTTATTTTAAATTGAAGCCAGAAAGAGGCATTATATTGTTGATAAAATTAAAAAAAAATTCTAATTTATCGAAATAAAAGAATTAAAGCTTCCAACTTTATGATTAGATATAAATATCTTTATTTCTAAATATATAGTTTATTTAAAACATTATATTTTCGATACAAAAAAATTATAACCAATTATATTTAAATAATAATTTAATTTCAATTTTAATAATTTTAATAATTTTCAATATTTATTTATAATATTGAAATAATATTGAAATTATTAATTTAATTTTAATAATTAAATTTAATTAAATTTAATTAATTTAATAATAATAATAATTAATTTTAATTTTTAATAATTTGAAATAATATTGAAAATTATTAATTTAATTTTAATAATTTTCAATTTTATGCTCTATATAAGCTATTTAAATATATATTTAAATTAGTATAATATAAAAATTATTACCAAATACAAATATATTAAAATAATTATATATAATGCAATTTCATTGAAATTTAATTTTAAATTTAATATTGAAAATAAAATTATAATATTAGAAAATATAACCTCGTAAAAATCCTTTTCATAAATTATTTCATATTTATTTAAAGATTTAATTAAATAAAAAGGAATAATTATACATATACAAATATATTAATTATAAAAATAAAAGGTCAACTTGATTTCTTTAAATCAGGCCACACATTTCCTTATTCGCATTACTCTAGTTAGTCCTAAATTAAGGAGTCCAGCGTTTGTATAAACATTTTTTTTTTTCGTAGCTTCAACCCATTCCGAGATATTTCACTGTACTACTCAGTCAGAGGAAACATCCTGTATGTAAGACCAACTCACGAAAAAAAATTGGCAACCTTCGAGCGCATTCTTCTCACACAGCACTCATACGTTCATCAACTTACTCTCCTTACTCATTCAATCTCACTTACTTGACTTTTACATTCCTCGCTCATACAATTCATGTTCGTCAGATTGTCAAATCATCCGATGTCAAATCTCACTTCTGACGAGTGAATTAAAATCCTACCAATTTAACACTAATCTTCACTTGAACCAGCTGACTTTCATTCACGTTGAACGTTCAGATCGGCATCGCTCCAGTCGCGATGGTCCTTTGTTTTTTTTTTTTCGTTTAACCTATTCGAAACGCACGCGTGTTTAGACTATTATTTTCTTTTCTTTTTTCCGTGGGAGAGGGACGGAGAGTTTTGCGGCTGATTGGTTCTAACGGGGACTGCAAAGTCAGTTTTGTTATCCAGATTTGTTTTCAATCAGGAAATTGGAACGATGAATGCGCGGCGTTACGGTTGTTGAAAGTGGTTAGAAAGAAAGGGGGAAAATGGAAATTGCCGATTAAACCTGGATATTTTTGTGGAACTCTATATTGCGGTCTTTCGTATCTGCGCTTTCGTTTTCCTAAACCGCTTTGATCATCGAGCGTCCTGCTCTAATCAAATCGAGTGTCCTTCTAATCGAACGTTTTCTACTAAAGAATAAATTATCTTACGCGTATGTTATACATTTGGCGTATTTTTTATGATTGTAAAAAGTTCATTTGACGAAAGTTTGAAATTAAGAGAAATAAGTTTATCATGGAAACATTAAACGCTAAATATTTGTTTCGTTTACCAATTTATCTTGCTTTATATTAATAAAAAAAATTGATTATTTACTATCTTACTACAAAGTTATATTCTGTTACTCAATTTGTTACAAAAGTCTAATTTTACACAATACTAAGAAAATAGTTTATCAACCAAGAAATTGATTCGATGCTCTTTTTTAGATAAACTCATCACTTTCCTATTTATTCATTGGTTTCTTGAATCATTCTGATAATAAACTGTTTTCTGGGTTATTTCTTGCATTCAAAGAAAGTTTTCATTTAATAATTATCCTTTGAATTTTCAATTTTTAAATTTAATGTAAAAGTACTGAACCATTGACATATAATACTACATTATGATACTACGCATTAATTAAATGATTATCACATGATTCTTTTTCCTCTAAACTACGCTTAATAGTGTATTAATGGATTTTAGTTTATAAATATTTCGCATTTTGATGGATGAATCAATTGGCCTTGATGGAACGCACTTAATAAAATTATTAATTGTTCATCAAGGCAATTTTTAACGAAAGATATTCAAAATCTATTTTCGCGAATAAAGGAAAAAAATTTTATTCGACATTTTTGGCTTATTCTTTCATGTAGAAAGAATTGTTAATTATTATTTTCTGTTGCGTGCTAAATTCAAGTATAATCAGAAACCGTAACTGTCAATCAAAATATTTTCGACTTATAATTATAATAGCTTTTCCTGAGGAATTACTCTTATTACCGGAACACAAATTACAAATTTACGCTAGTTATTAACAATTTCAAGTAGATATGTTTCAAAAGTGCAGTGGCTTTTAGATTTCTCCAACACCTCAAGTAATTGTATTACAAAATGACAAATAGGTAATTTGAAATGACAAAATTAGACTGAGTAAAGAATTGCAGAGAGAATAAAAGTTTTTTTTTAAAGTAGCTACAACATCTTATAATTGATCCAAAAGTAAGTAAAGTTTGCAAATTTTTATAATTGTAAACAAGTTCCAATCCTTTCCGATATATAAATGTGATTATCTCAGCTTTATATTTCAATTTTTTTAAAGCTAGAATGTCATAAAATGATGAAGTTATTTTCTATCACAGAACATTATAGAATCTCAAATCACATCATCAAGATCAGAAGACATCATCTCAAATGTAGCATATGTTCAATTACTTACAAACATATGAATCTGATACTTGTTAATAATAAACAAAATTGTAGAAAAGTAGTAACGAAACCAACTTCCATCATTTTGAAACATTTTTTGACATAAAAATTAAAACTGTAGTATTCAAGTAACATAAACTTGAAAAGAATTGCAGTACACTTTCCATTTAGTAATTACTATCATGCAGAGTTTATGCATTCTAAATTTTTCATGAACGTTACTAAAAAAGAAAAAAAGAAAAAAGAAATAGAACCCAAAACAAATTTCTGATTTTCTGAAAATATACAGCTTTTTATATATTTTCAGAAATTTGTTTCAGGTTCCATTTTTCTTTTTTTCTCTTTTTTTAGTAACGTTCATGAGAAGTTTATTTTCCCAACTTTCGATTTTCCAAAACGCAGACGCGTAAAATCCGCGCTCGAAGCAATTACTTACGAAGAAAATTCGCGAACTTTATCTATTTTAGAACCCTCTTACATTTTCAACGCCTCGCGGGAACCTGATTCAGAGCGTGGAACTATTCGTCCCGCACCGACACTAAAGAACACCTCGCCAATATCTGAAATTCCGAACAGCAGCACTAAATTGGAAAAAGTACAAAGAACGTCTCGAAAAATTCTTCGCGAATTTTCCATTTTTCAACTGGCGTGCAACGCACGGTCGCGCTGGTATATTAAACGACAGAAATAGAAACACACACACAGAGAGAGAGAGAGAGAGAGACTGATAAATAGTCGAAAGAAAAGCACGCACGATAGTTTACATAGGAGTTTCATTAAACAGCGCTCGACTCTGTTTTCGATCCACTTCGTTGCCTGTTCATCGAGCCCCTCTCTCTCTCTCTCACTCTTTCTCTCGCGTTCATGTGTGTCTTTGGGTTTATACTTGCAACAGCCCGCGGGGGGCGACGCCGTGGCATTTCTGTCACGCGTATATTCTTGCCTGCTAAACGCGGCAGAATGGCGCAGAACGCCGAGAAAATCGGCTAGCGGAGGATAAGCCGACTGAATTGTTGGGGGATGACAAATATAGAGGCCCGTAGAGGAACACCAACCAACACCCGGCGGGTTGGTTCGTGCAACAGTGGCGTCGCGTACCAGCGCATGCACGTGCACGTTATCAATTTGAGAACGGCCGCGTTCCACTTTACTTGATGCTTCGGCCAACTTTTTGGCCAAATAGTTGGAGGAACGCGTTGTTATCGCGCTCACCGACCAGAGGGAATTGAATACACCCGCCGCTGCATGTGTATCGGGAACGTGTGCGTCCCCCCCCCCCCCTCCCCCGAATCGAATTTTCCGAGTTCCGATTGAAAGTTACGTGGCTGCGTATTGTCGAGAGGAAATTTCCTCCTCCTTCTCCTGCCCCCACAACCGTAAACGTACGGTTAGTTGCGTTGCTATTCGAAGGCAGTAGCGTCGGGATTTCGAGACAAACCGTTGTCGCGATACAGAGATCGGAAGATATATATATATATATATTTTTAACTAACATAACTAAGAGTTACATCACACAATTTTTTTTTTTTTTTT